ATTCCGCCTGCTTGTGAATACTCTCAAGGAGATGCTGGAATGGTGAAGCCCTGTCTGTGTGCAGCCAGTGCAGATATTTGGCATTGTCTGAGCAGCAGAACAACATCCCAGTGTGGCTGGGATGGTGCCTGGACATGAGTCTGCCTTCCCTCAGCTTGCCTGGCAAGCTCCAGCTGGTGGAGGTGGCACATCCATTCCAATAGACCCAGGGAAACAGAGATGGAGCTCGGGGAAGCAGGGTGAGGGAGCACATAAATAACCATCTCCTGGAGTGGGCAGAGGGATGGGGGCAGCTTGTCTCCTTTGGAAAAGGCCAACACCACTTTGAGAAGTCAAATGAGTCTGCAAACCAGAAGCCACACAAGCATGAGGACAAAGCAAAACAGGTGAGCTGTGTCCAGAAAAAGCTAAATATCTGGTAGAGGATGGACACCCCAGTGCAATAGGCAAAGAATTCCCAAGCTGGCTTCCCCACATCTCCAACATTCCTCCATGGAGCTGCTCAGCCCCACAGGGCTCCTCCAGTGCTGCAGCACTCCAAAGCAGCATTGTGAGAGTGTGCTCAAACAGTATCAATAGCAATTAGAGGGAAAATCCTGATCCCATCCCCAGCCCCAGTTAATTGTTGCAACATTGATTTACTCTAATTTGACTTCTCACTCCAAATTAAACCCGCATTACCCAAGGAGGGACTGCAGGCAAGCTCCCCCTGCTCGCCCCCTCCCCTCAGAGACAATAAATTTCATATTGAATACACTTGGAAAAAAAACCTGGCAGTTGTTGCAGGATCCATACCCAAAGATCTTTTTCCTTTTTTTTTGCTCTTTCTCTTTTTTTTCTTCCTGGGAGTAATTAAAAGATGCTTTTCTTGACTAATGATGCCCCTGTTTAGGAATGGGAAGTCGATACTCCTTCAGCAGCAGTCAGCTTCAATTTGTCACAGGCCTCCCCAAGTTGGAGCGGCCTTCTCGGGGCTGCTGGTAATTGCTGGAACCAATTACTGACCTAATCAGGGACCCACGGACACCACAGCATGGGCCAGCTGCTCCCTGCTCCCTTTCACACTCCACTGTTTGGGTTTTCCACCATTTCCCCAACTTTCTGTGCTCAGCAGAGCTTGTGTTTATTCCTCCTTCCTCCCAAAATCCCAGGGACACCCTCAGCCCTGCCTCAGCCACTTCCTTGGGGATCCCAGCACACCTGTGCTCCCAAAGCCTTCCAGTTCAGGGCCAGAGGCCATCCTGGCTGCTGCTTTTCACTGACAGGGGCACTGACTGACCTGGACACTGCAGGATGCTCTGGGTTGGAATGGGCCCTAAAGCCCATCTCATCCCACCCCTGCCATGGGGCACCTTCCTCTACACCAGGTGGATGTGAGCTGGAAAATATCAATATTAAAGGATATAGCTGGGCAACATCCCTGACCAGTGCAGGAAGGATAATACCTTTTGCTGAAGGCTTTGATTTTACACACCCTCCCAATCTCAGAACCTTTCTGGCCTTCAAAGGAAGTGTCCAGGTTGATCTTTTCCCATGATTTGCCTGGATGAAGAATCTGAAGTGCATTTGAGTGGGCTAGAAAAGGAGAGCAGCATTTCACATGGTTTAATCACGGAATCTCCTGAGCTGGAAGGGACCCACAGGGATCACTGATCCAACCCCTGGCCTGCACAGACACCCCAACAATCCCACCCTGGGCATCCCTGGGAGCATTATCCAAACCCTCCTGGAGCTCTGGCATTCCCTGGGGCTGTGCCCATTGCCTGGGGAGCCTGAGCAGTGCCCAGCACCCTCTGGGAGGAGAATCTTTTCCTAAAATCCAACCTAAACATCCCCAACACAGCTCCAGCCATTCCCTGGGTTCTGTCCCTGTCACAGAGAGCAGAGATTGGAGCTGTCCCTCATAAGGAAGGTGCAGGCCATGATAAGCTCTTGAATTTGGTATCTTATTTCTGAGTGTGCAAAATGACTGAAGGGAAGCTGTACTCACAGATCTGCTTTCAGAAATAATGGTGACATTTTCCTGGGTAAGACTCCTTCATTATGCCATGACTTGGGGTAGCCATGTGGCAATTCCTCCTGTCAGAAACCATCTCCATGAATCCTCCACCCCTTTCCTCCACTCCACAGAAACACACAGGATGCCACTGCCAGCATACAGTGATCAGTGCCAAACCTCTCCCAGGCTGAAGGGACTGCTTTGAAAGCCACATCAAGACTTTCAGGTTCCTTTTAGTCCAGCCTGGGAACACTCCTTGAGCCTCCCAGCCCAACAACTCAGTATTTGTGGAGCAGCTCATTACTACTTTTTTTTTGGTGTCCCTAGAAATCTGTGGGTTTCCACTGATGGCTTCATCCTCAACAGAAAGACACAACATGAACAGGTGAATCCCACCTGATCCCCTCTAGAAGTGTCTATTGAGGGCCCATCACAGAATCAGATTCCCAGAATGGTTTGGGCTGGAAGGGACCTTCAGGACCATCCAGTGCCACCCCTGCCATGGGCAAGGACACCTTCCACTGTCCCAGGGTGTTCCAGCCTGGCCTTGGGCACTGCCAGGGATCCAGGGGCAGCCCCAGCTGCTCTGGGCAGTGCCAGGGCCTGCCCACTCTCACAGGGAACAATTCCTAATTCCCAATCTCCCATCCATCCCTGCCCTCTGGCAGTGGGAGCCATTCCCTGTGTCCTGTCCCTCCATGCCTTGTCCCCAGTCCCTCTGCAGCTCTCCTGGAGTTGCCTCTTCCCCCTTCAGTCCCTCCACAACAACAAAAGGTTTGTTTAACCCTCCTTTCAGGGCCATTTCAGCTGCTTCCAATAGAATTCCTCATGCAAAACTCCAAACAGCAGTGGGAACATGGGGAGCAGAGCCTCTACCTGAAGAACCTGGATTTATTTTATCACCACAGCTTGGACAGAAGGATTGTGATGCTGGCAGAGACCAAAGGGAAGCACAAAAGCAGGCAGACAGTTGGAAAAAGCAGAACTCTCTGGTATTTATGTAAAAAATTGCATTTCAGTCCCTGCTGCAAACAGCAGAGGAATGGGAGCAGCAAAGCAAGACTGCAATTGCTTTGTGGGAAAATTTCCACATCATCCTAATTCTGCTTTTTCTAGCACCTCTTCTATCACAGAAGCGTGAACCTGGACACAGAGCTAGGAAATCCTATCTATAAAATGAATCTTTTTGTCCAAAAATGTTGCAGTGCAGGAGAGAAAGTGCAGTGATATCAGTGACAATCAGAATCAGCTGAATATAACCATGAAGATGCACAGAAACAAAGTGGGAGAATTAAAATAAGCCCCGTGTATGAAATACTAAGAGAAAAAAGTTGATTTTCTAGAAGTAAAATTCAACCCTGAGTGAATTATTAATTGAAATGGATGGTGCTCTTTTCATCACAGTCACATGGATTTTAGATTTTTCATGATGATTATTATATGACTACTGAAATAATGTGATTTTTTTTTTAATAGCATTCCAATTGAGTGCAAGCATTTTCCTTTCAGCTGTTTAGAACTACTCACCTCAGCAGTAAGGAGCAACATATCTTTGTGAGGTGCAAGAATATAAAATCTCTGTACTGAAGTGATAGCAATGATTGAAAGTTCATTTCAATCTACCCGACGAAATCATTGTGCCCAATAATACACAGGTATAGAGCAGCCACCCCATTTGTGCCTGAACAAAACCTCTCTTTGGGGCTCCCTGAGCACTTTTAGATGCACAGCCATTCATCTAAGCAGCCTGATTAATGCAGTGGCTTCATTCTCGAAGATGAACCAAAGGTGGCACCACAAATTCATTTTTCAGGGCTAACGAAATAATGCAAGAAGGAACAGTTGACTTTTCTACACACAAGAGCACAAACCCAGCCCTCTGCTGCAGGAGCTGGCCCAGCCACAGTGATCCTTCCACCTGATCCAAAACCGGAAAAAGTATTCTCAAAACATCTGTCTTTGACACCGATCAGATTAATTCAGCATTAAAACCCCCCAGTTTTAGGTAGGACAACACCTCACAGGAAGATTTTCACTGTGTGGAGCTATGAGAGGCAGGTAAAGAGCTGTTCTCAAAGGAGACAGCCCCCCAGCAGCTCATGGTTTCACATAGATCACACCCAAAGAAAGTCAACAAGCCCATGGCTGTCACCATCATATTTCCTGGAAAAATCCCTTTGCCAGGATTTCTTCCTCTGGGAAGCTGAGAAGCCTCAGAGAAAAAGGAAAACAATAATTATCTCATTTGCTTCTCCTGTGTTTTGCTGCTTTGGAATGTGGCTGGAGATTGTTTATCCAACAGGTGAATTGCTTTTACTCAATGACAAATCACAGCCAGGCTGTGTCAAACTCTGAAGAGTCATGAGTTTTTCATTAGTATCTTGTTAAGCCTTCTGTCTGTATCCTTTCTCTATTCTTTAGTATAGTTTAGTATAGTATTCTTTAATATAATATAATATCATAAAATAATAAATCAGCCTTCTGAGAACATGGAGTCAGATTCATCTTTCCTTCCTGCCATGGGAGCCCCTGAAAACACCACACATGGCCAGCAGGACTTGGAACACCCCTGAGCAGATTGTTGTGAAAAATTCATCCAAAGACCTGACAGCCGGGTACAAATCCCCTGAAACTCTGAAGGGAGATTGTTAATGACAAACTAACAGTCCAAAAGGCAGGAACTTGGTGGCCCACTGAGACAAAGGAGCACATGACAGGACAGTTTGGATGGAGGAAGAAGCAGGTGGGAGGTTTGCATCTCCCCCTGAACAGAAAACTGCAGAGCTGCTGAGCAAACCTCCACAAGAGCGAGAAAGCAATGAGGTCACTCAAATTTTGCCACCTCCCACTTTGACACACGCTCTCCCTGGGCACACAGTGAGGCTATAAACAAGGTGAGGTTATAAACAAGGTGAGGTTATAAATCACGACTTTCCCACAAGGGAGAGCTCCAAAGCGGTGGCGGCGCGCGCCGGGCGAGGCGTGGCGAGCACGAACCCACCTGGTGGAGTCTGGGGAAGGCTTCACGTGGCCTTGGCTGTTCTCCTCCCACACACTGTTGGCCAGCTCGTTGCCAATGGCTGACATGACCTTGATGAGCTCGATGGGCCAGTCGTCCAGGTCCAGGGAGCGCACGCGGGACAGGTGCGTGCCGAGGTTGCGGTGGATACCTGAGCATTCGATGCAGATGAGGGCTCCCAGGTTGAGGCTGGCCCAGTCGGGGTCTGCAGGGCAAGGACACAGCAGTTAGGACAAGGGAACACCCCACAGAACTTCCCAGCTGGTGGTTGTGCATGAAGGTTTTGGTTCTAGAGGTGTCTTGTCCTATGGAGCAGCTGGGAGGTTGTCCAGGGTCAGTCGAGATGCCAACGATTCAAGGGTACAGAAAAATGAAACGTGGTGTCTCAAAGGATGCATCACTCCACCTCCAGCCAAAAAACCCCAATGAACTAGAGGGGAAAGGAGAAACAGAGGCAATATAACCATGGTGGTGGGTAAAGGATGATGGAGCAGTGAAGAAAGTCCCTCCCTGGGAACCCAGAGCTGCTTGTAGTCAGCTGAAAGGGGAAAAGGAGAAAAAAACAAAGCCTAGAAACAATTATCTCCTGCTAACTCCATCAATAACCACACACACCAGCAGCTATGTGTGGCCCTTCCATCTGACTCTTCTTCCATCTCCAGCATCAGGGAGATAAACACCAAGGTGGAAATGTCCCACCTGGAACACCCCCAGTTCCAGGGCACGAGCCAGAAGGATTGCACCCACCCAAAACAACCCCACACAGGGTGACACTGGGACAAACCTGACACAGGATGGGAAAGCCCATTTCCCAACATGGTTCAAAGCTCTTTTGCCACTGTACTGTGTAATTCAAATCTAGATTTGTATGGATTGCCTTCTCTCCCAACAAACATTCACCTTAACAAATGCAACTGAAGACACATGAGAGGAATTTTGGTTGGTTTTTTCCTAACCAGATCTTTTCTTCATGCCTCACTCTGTGCATCCCAAAGAACTACCCCAAATGCCATGCAGGAAAATGGGGATAAATTAAGAGGGCAGGCAATTCTTGTTCCTATCTAAACAAAATTAGGAGCTGATAGAAAATGAATTTCCAGTGTTTCCTTCTGTTGTGAAAAATTCATCCAAAGTCTCGTCTCGACTTTGTGTAACCCACAACTGAAAAGCTATTTCTGGCAGCCAAAATATGTAGAAACAAAACATTTTCTAGTTCTTTCCCATGTCATGTTTGGACAAAAAATAGGAAAGGAAATAATTTTAATTGTGAAGTCCCACATTTCACTGAAGGCACTGACTGACATTTTTCAACGAGTCCATTGAAATCTAAAAATGCAATCAAAAAGAAAAATCCCCCGTCTTATTCCACTTGAGCAGAAAAGCACATCTTTTGTTTAGAAGTTCCTGTTCATACCAAGTCCTATATTATACATAATTTAATATCCACATTATAAATATACAACATTTCAGATCTCAAAAAAATCAGGTGAAACAAAACTCCTGCCATGCTTTCCAAGCTTTTGGTACAACAACTACAACAAACTCTTTCAATTCCATAATTCTTCATATACCTCCACTGTTGTTTTGCCAGTGAGGGAACCAGTGGTGTACCTGAAACATATTAAAAATCCCTCAAAATCTCAATTTGTTGGTATAAATTTGAACACAGCAAGTAATAATTTGGAATTTGCAAACTGTGACTCGGATGAAACCCCTGACCTGCAAAGGCCAGGGTTATCCTCACAAAAATCCAAAGTGCAATGAGCTCTAAGAGGCATGAACTCAGAATGAAGCAGGAGAATGGAATACCAACTCACATTATTCCAATTATTCTGACAGAACTGGAGTTAAGGACCTGACCTCCCTCCCAAACACCTCTCTACTTGAAGCACATGTAGTGCATCTCGTACTGAAAAAATTCTTTAAATACTCCCCTGCTTCAGAGCATCACAGAATGGTTTGGGTTGGAAGAGCCTCTCAGTTGCCAGCACTGCTAGGACTGAAGGAGTCCCCCAAAACAACCACCAGGAGGTTCCATGAAATTTTAGCAAGATATTATTTTCAATTTCAACAATCTGACAACACAGAGCTGGCTGGGAATGTGGCAAACGAGGCAAGGCAAGGGCTGAACTCGTTACAGAAATAAAAATTATTTTCACCAATGCACACCACAAGTGGTTAGAAAGCTGTAATTATTCAAGCTTGGGGTTTCTTTAACTTTAAAGATGATGCAAACCCAGCTTCCTTTTCCTGCTGATGGTGAGAGTAACTCTGAATTGGAGGATGTTCACAAACATGTGGCAGGTGTGGGCATCAAGGTTTGAGCAGGTGTGGGCATCAAGGCTTGACAGCAAAAGGAAGAAAAAGCCCACTCAGTGCAGCTAGAAGTGCTTTACTTAGAATTGGTCAAACAAAAAATGAGCTTTTTAGCACCACTGAATACATCCAGATTACAATTTTCAGCTGTTCATAGCCTCAAAAATGCTCAGCTCACTCCTTCCCTGAAAATTCTTCCCCACTCTGACTCTCACCTCAATCAGCTTCACCCTTTGGAGGTGAACACTCCCTAAGGAGAATAACCCATCCCCACTGTCTCCTTCATCCCTTTGGATTCTGATGAATGGCTGAACCTTCCTGAGGTCAGCAGCTGTGAGATATCCCTGGGCTGAGCAGCAGGAATTGCTGGAAGGAGGAGCAGAAGAGCCAGGGAAAGAAGAAGCAGGGGTGAAGGCATCTCCAGTAGCTGCAGAAGGGGGAGAGAAGTTTGCAACTCTCCTATTCTTTTTTTTTTTTTCCTATTCTGCATGAAAAACTGAATTTTGTGATGAGTGGGACAAGATTGTCCAAATTATTATCTCAATGTTTGGCTTTCAAATACAAACTACACCAGAGTATATGATCAGACTCCTGGAATGGAAAACTCATGATGAGAATACATGTTTTTAAACCCTCCCTGTTTTCTTCTACAACAGCAAAGACCTGATGCTCCATCTTCTCCAGGTATCTTGGAAGAGGTGACTGCTATTTATCCTCTGCTGAGCCAAAATCCAGAATTCAGCTGGGTTTGCCTGAACTATTGGATCACCTTGGGTGGCTTTTCCAGAGAGAGTCAGCACCGGGACTCTGCTGCTTTGGAAAAGGCAACACCAGATTCCTTTTGAAACATTAAATCATTTCCTGGGCACAAACTCCAGCTCCTAAAGAGCACTTTGCCTCTTCTCTTGCTCTGGGATGGGAATGTTGGCAGGAGAATATTGAATAACTTTAGCTGGAGGCTGCCAAAGGGCAGGGATGCTGGTGGAACACAGCTGCTGGATTAACACCCAACAAGGCAGAATTCCCTGGTGAAACAAAGTGCTCAAAAGGCAAAGAGCTCCAGAAAGAGGGAGAATGAGACTTCTGAAGTGGAAGATTGATGGCTCCTGAATAGAGCTGAGGGATGGCAACATCTCACACTCCTGTGCCCCCTAACATCTGGCTCTGCGGAGATGCAAACAGCGTGAGGCTTCCACCGAGTGCCTGGGTTTGTGATGTTAAGTGCTCTGGGGGTAAGGACCTCCGCAGCAAGGGAGGCAAGGGAATAAAGCAAAGCCCTGCAGAAAAAGTAGCAGGCTGAGGTTCACCTCCTCCCTGTGTGTGTGTTTACACTTTAAGATCCACAGCTTTGGAAATAGCTCACATTTTTCCAAGGAACGACAGTGGCCTTAAAATCAGGAAGGTCAAACAGCAAGAGGAGTCAAAGAGGGTATAAATCATCTGTGAGAATCCAAACAAGTCCAGCTGAGATTCCAAAGTCATCCCCCCATAAAAGCCACATAACAGAGTGTTGCCAGAATGGGCTGTCCCACTCTGCCCTCTCCCAGCAACGAGCTCCTGGCACATCCCTGCTGCTGGCACCAGGCACCGGGGCCAGCTTGACCCATGAGCAATCTGGCTGAGAACCAGATTGGGTGGGGGGAAAAAAACCCCAAAAAGGGTAAAAAAAATGCTGTTTTCTTGCACAAGCATTTTCTTGATGAAGCATTCATCCTGGCTGCATAAATCCTGGGATAAGTGCATGGTTGGGGAGAGAAACACCAGCCTTGGGGACAGTCTGGGCAGAGCTGAGGTGGATCAGAAGGATGTTGTAGAAGTTGTCTGCACTGAAGGGATTGCATCTTATAGATACATAATATAACCTCCCAAAATATATAAATAAAAATGTAATTGTATATTTTATAAATACATATCTAGTTAGCAAGGCTAGGAGTGTGGAGTGTGGGTAGGGCTGAGGTGGATCAGAAGGATGTTGTGGAAATTGTCTGCACTGAAGGGACTGCATCTTATGGATATATTATATAACATCCCATAAATAAATAAATAAATAACTATAAAACAATAGAATATGTTTGTATATTTTATAAATAAGTATCTAGTTAGCAAGGCTAGGAGTGTGGAGTCTGGGTAGAGCTGAGGTGGATCAGATGATGTGGAAGTTGTCTGCACTGAAGGGATTGTATCTTAAAAATACATAATATAAGCCCCATAAATATATATATATATAAATGGAATATGTTTGTATATTTTATAAATAAATATGCAGTTAGCAAGGCTAGGAGTGTGGAGTCTGGGTAGGGCTGAGGTGGATTAGAAGGATGTTGGGTGTGAAAGTTGTCTGCACTGAAGGGATTGCATCTTATGGATATATAATATAACCTACCATAAATATATATATTAAATATATTTGTATATTTTATAAATATATATCTAGTTATCAAGGCTAGGAAAATCAAGGCTAGGCCACCCCCAGTGGAGCAGGACCCAGCACCACTCCCACCATGGGCTGCTCAGAGGCAGCAGTGAGTGCTTCAAATGAGCTAAATATCCATAAATGAGCTAAATATCCATGCAGGTCACTCCCAGACCCCCTACTCATCCACAGCACACACCCTTCCTGCTTTCCTCCTGAGCTGCATCAAAGCTTTGGGGGAAATCTCAATGGCTGCCAGGTCACTATGAAAGAACACCAATAAATAAGACTTGCTTTGGGCCCCAGATGCTAAAACACCACTCAAACCAAGCTTTTCCCTGGTTTAGCATGTGCTGGATCACTTAAAGTCAAAGCAGGGACCAAATTATTGGTGCAAAAGCACCTGCAATAGTGTACAAATGTTCCTTTTACACTGGGGGGTCAGAATGGCTTAGGCCAGGAGTCAGAATCCCGAGCAGCCAATCTTTAAAAATAAAAATCACACCTGAAGAAAAGTAAGCGAATATTTTTCCATTTTAAGCATGTGTCAAAATGGCAAGGAAAGTTCTGACTTCCAAATATCAAAGAAATAAAAATGCACAAGTTCTCAGTCCTTTAGCTCCTACAACTAATTGCTTTAGAGCAAGAGAACTTCCTTTCTGTGGCTTTGTTGCAAACCCCTGGAACTAAAGAGCACCAGAATAATGGCCTCAGTCGGGGTTAGTGAGGTGAAGCACAGCTCAAAGTATTCCTGAGAACACTCTTCTGAACACTAAGCATATGTTTCAAAAAATAAAAAAAAAAGGGGGGGAAGAAACACAAAGGGGAAGAAAAAAAAATCCAAAATCAGTTTTCTAGTATCCAGATATAATGAGCAATGACTTTGGTTTCTTCTGACAAGCAAGCCTGAAAAACCAAACCAAAAAAGCAGCAATCAAGCTCTACCTCTTCGAAAATATTACCATGGCACGTGTGCTCTCACCACACAAAACAGGAGGGAAATGGCAAGGACTGGTGTCAAACAGCAAACTTTCTGCCTTTTCTTTGAAGGGAAGTACAGAAATGCTGACATTCAACGTGAAACAACGAGGGGGAAAAATCAGGATGCACTTGATGTGGCAGATATTGAGCATAAATTAAGATCAAACAAGTCTGGTTAAGCAAATCCTTCACGAAGCAGAGATGTGCAAACAAGGGAGGGGATGCCACAGCAGGGAGCTGTGGAAACCCAGGACACCAGGAATATTTCTCTGTCTGCTCTGGGGTGCCCTTACCCCCAGGGCAGCACTGACTTTGCCCCTCATTCATGGAGAAAGTTTCCTAAAGATAGGAAGATAGACTAGATAGACTATTATCCACAAAAATGTGAAGTAGATTGTAGACAGCAGTGTAGGTGTATCACTTGGTGAGAGATTTAGGTTTTGGGATTTTTAGTATGTAGTGGACGGCAGCAAGATGGAGGGCACAGGGTGTCCTCCTGGGTTTCTTCTTCATGCTTCTTCTTCCTCCTTCTCCATGGGTTTGGGTGGCATTTTGTAATTGGGTGGAAAAATCTGCATTGAAGCTCTTTGGGATCAGTTATTGGGTTAAAAGGGGAAATCTAAGTGTAAATTCTTAATTGAATAGTTTAGCTTTAAAAGACCTTGTAACAAGAGATTGTTGGCCATTTTGTGCTTTCTGATGAAAAGCTGCTGAACTCATGGCTGTGAGACTGTTTTACTGATAAGAAATAACAAACACCCGAGTCCAAACAGGAATGACTGTCTGGAGTGCCTTCAATCCAAACCCAGAGAAACCAACAGCTGAACCCCCCCCAGGGAGGCAGGGCTGGGTGCTGCCAGGGCCTGGCCAAGGAGGAGGGGTCAGAGGTGCAGTCAGGTGCTGTACTCACTCTGTGCCTCGCAGTCCACGCAGTGGGAGTTGCCTCTGATGTTCCTGATGGACTGCAGGGCCATGGCCTCGTTCTGACTGGTCAGACGCGACTGCGGGGAGCCAGAGACACCGGTGAGCAGCAGGAACCCAAAAAAACCCCAATGACACCACTGTCAGCTGAATGAGCAGCCAACCCCAAAGCTCAGACCAAGGTCAAATTAATACAGTCAAGGAACCTCAAGTCTTGAGTTGCCTCTCAAGGAACAGTGGTCCCTTGGCACCTCCCAGACTTTTAGGGTCTCCAGCCTGGATTCTAACAGAGGGAAATGGAGCTTGGGAATGAACCCTGCTCTTCCCAAGAGCAGCAGCCACACTGTAGGCTTGCTTCTTGAGATAAATGAGACAAGAATATTATTTTACAAGATCAATTTCTTTTATTGATGTGTGTGCTTGTGCTAATGAAGACTAAGGGACGGTTTGCAGAAGGGGCTGGAACTTTTTCATCATCCAAAGGTCAGATTTCACCCCGTGGCTCCCCTTTAAATGCTCCCCATGATGACCTGCCCATGACCTCTGCTGGGGGAGACTCTCCTGATGTACAGGCAGATTAGCTCTAGCCAACTGTCTTAGGCTGGAAATGCAAGATGTGCCTGGGGGTGTGAATTCTATTCTGTGTCTGTTAGAGCTGGGGCAGTTCTCTTCTGTTCATTGGGCAGTTTTCTTTATCTCTCCCACAAACCAGTCCTCCCTCGGGGAAATATCTTGTGTTCATGGGCCATTGAGTGTCACTGATAAATGACTGATAAAATTATATCATCCCACTGGGAGAAGCTCCACCCAGGGGGAGGAGCCAAGCATTCCTTCCTGGATATAATCTGACAGTTGGAACACCACAGCACCTTTCCCACTGGATTCCCAGAGGAGCAGCCCTTTCCCACTGGATTCCCAGAGGAAGACCAGACCAATCTACTCCACCACTGGATCTTCAGAGGAAAACTCCACCCTTCTACAGGATCCCTGCTCCAGCAGAACCATACCTGTCTCTGCAGGAGGGCTGCAGCCACCCTTTAATGGGACTGCCGCCAACACCCTGACACACAGGGAGTCAGGCCATATTCTCACTGTCAGTGTTGTTTTGTATTACTGCATTGGTTTGGGTTTTTTTTCCTTCCCTACTAAAGAACTGTTATTCCTGCTCCCATATCTTTGCCTGAGAGCCCCTTAATTTCAAACCTATAACAGTTCAGAGGCAGGGGGTTCACATTTTCCATTTCAGGAGAGGCTCTGCCTTCCTTAGCAGACACCTGGCTTTTCAAACCAAGACACCAAGTAGGACTTGTGGATGTCCACCTGGAGACACAACTGCCATGGGACACCTGCTAAACCTGTCCACCCAACTGCCCTTTGCTGTTCCAGCCAGTTCTCCTGAGATGCTTTGGGAACCCAGTGAGAAAAACCTCTCTGAGCCATTACCCAGCCACTCTCTATCCTTTTGTATTCATCTTTTTAGGTAGGTGTTAATGTACAAACTTCCCCTTCTGTGCTCTGGTAACACGCATTCATTTCAGAATGTGTGAACCCATGCTAAGCAAGAAACATGTAAGCTGTGATTTTCCTCCATCTCAGGAATATATGTTGATAAAAACCCATTTTTTAACACAAAACGGGAAGCAAATTGTGTTATGATGATGGTAATTACTGGTGTTTGATCCAGTCTGTCACACCAGGGCAATGAAGGCAGGCATTCATTTAAAAATATGAGTCTCCCTTGCAGTATAAAATCATGAAAGACAACTGTTAGGTGGGTAATATTAAAGGAACTACAGTTCTGGACTGAAATGACCAACAATCATTGGCCATTTCTGTCCCTCAATCACCACTCAGCACCTTGCTCTCTCCTGTGAAGTGTTTACAGACAATTGCCCTCCAGACACACAAGTTCTCCCAAAATGACCATTGGCTGAAGACATCTCAGATTTTAAACATTTGTTTTGACAGGAAAGGTGAGCAGATTCCTTCTGTCACCAAAGGAATGCATTCCAAGGGGGAAAGCTGCTCCTCCCAGGCCACGTTCAGAGAGCTCCAACCCTGCTCTGCCGTGGGGGGAACCCACACAGCTTGAGGAGTAAGGGCTTAAAATCCAGAATTTGCTGCCATCCTGATGATCCCCTGACCCATGGCTTATTGCCAGCATTGCTGTGTGCCCCATACCTTGTTCTTGCTGCTCTCACAGGACTGTAAACTGGCCAGGATCTGGCTCTCTATGGCTTGGACCCATGCATCCCTCTCTTCATAGGTGGTTGCTTCAAAGTGCCAAGTCTGGCCCGTGAGAGAGACAATGATAAACTCAAAGTTCTCTTCTTGCTCTGGAAAAAAAAAAAAGAAAAAAATAAATGTAATAGGAAGAAAAGATTAAGTTAAGGACAGTGAAAAGAACAATCTTGGTTGGTAAGAACTTGTGTTACTCAATGGTTTTAAGCTGAAGGAGGGTAGATTTGGATGAGATACTGGGGAGAAATTCTTCCCTGTGAGGGTGGGGAGGCCCTGGCACAGGGTGCCCAGAGCAGCTGTGGCTGCCCCTGGATCCCTGGAAGTGTCCAAGGCCAGCTTAGATAGGGTTTGGATCAATCTGGGACAGTGGAAGGTGTCTCTGCCCATTGCAGGGGGTGGCACTGGATAATTTTGAAGGTCCCTTCCAATCCAAACCATTCTGGGATTGTGCAAATCCTGTGAGTGCAGGTCTGGATCCTGCCCTGCACAGTGCACCAGGAAACAACCAGGATCCACTCTTTGCTGTGCAGATAAAGCAGTGGTTTGGGTAAATACTCAGTCCCTGTGTTTGTGAGCTTGGAATTGAGTCTGTGCCTTAATCAAACATAAAGTGGCCAACAAGCATCATTCAGATTTAAACCTGAGGTGCTAAAAGCTGCATAATGTAAAAATCAAAGGGTACCACAAAATAAAAGATGAATGGACCACAAAGAGCTGACAATACAGAATATGTAACAATTTACCCTCTTCTTTCAAGCAGTTTTTACAAGCACAGATATATTAAAGCAGATGTGGACATTTTCTCCTCTACAGCACAAATACTGGGATAATAATAATAATAATTACTGGGCTACAATACAGGCTTAAAATCAGTTCAACCTATTCAACATCCACATGTGACATGGGAGATGAGAAAATGATCTGAGAAGCCAGGAGAGAGGGTCACTGAAATATCCTTAGGGCTGCTGGAGGAGGAGGACAAGTATTCAGGCCAGAGGAGCAGCACATGGAAATACCAGCAGCACTGAAATAAATGGACACACACCCCACCTACACATGGGACACCAATGCCAAATTAAAAAAAAAGAAAATCAAGGAAGCTGAAACAGAGCTAAGTGCAATTGGGGCGGGCTGGCATGAAGCATGAAAGGAAAAGAATAATAGAGCACAAAATTCTGGTGAACATCAGCCATAACGAGCTTCAGAAAGAACATTTTGTCTGATAATGACTGATTATATATTCAGAGCCATGGCACTACTGTGTTCCCTCATCATCTATAAACATGCAAAGATCAGGGACAAATCCAGCAGCAGATTTAAGGACAGCACTGCTGGCAGCTGTGTTCCCAAGCTGGGGGACAAGGGCTTTTCTTGGATAAGCTCCATGTCATGCTGTAAGGATGCCTCAAAGGCAGCAGGACGTGACTTGGCACCTCCAGGTGGGGATAAACACAGAGCTGAATGTCATTTTCAGGTGCAGGGAGGTACCTGAAAGTCCAGTTAATTTACTGGAAAACAGTGCATGGGAAGTGGGAAAAGTGGGAAAAGAAAACATGGAATATCCAGAGTTGGAAGGGATCCAGAAGGATCAGACCCCCAACAATCTCACCCTGTCCATCCCTGGGAGTGGTGTCCAAACCCTCCTGGAGCTCTGGCAGCCCTGGGGCTGTGCCCAAACCCTGGGGAGCCTGGGCAGTGCCCAGCACCCTGTGGGGGAAGAACCTTTTCCTAAAATCCCACCTAAACCCCCCCGGCACAGCTCCATGTCATTCACCTGGGTCAAAGATGAATGATGCACAGCTACAAGTGTTCCACTTTAGCAACACACTGTTCCAGACAAACAGGTAGAGGCATTACCCAAAATGCCATGAATTAATCATGGCCAAAGCCTCGTTTATCAAGCAGAGCTTTCAGGGTTTCCTGAGGAAGATCTAAGAGGAACTACTCCACAAGAAATGAAGTCACATTCAGCCCTGTGCACTGGCTCCTGTAGGACAACACAGGAGTTAAAGTCTCTGCAGCACCACTGACTCCTCTGATCTCCTCTTTAAGAATGCTGATCACACACACTTGGAGCTGGTTTGCCCAGGAGAAATAAGCCCAGGAGAGCTGCAGCACCTTTTCAGGTGGGGCTGGAAGGACATTTTGAGGTCCAAAGAAGAAAATGGAGCTGGGGAAGGGGCTAGAGCCCCAGGAGGGGCTGAGGGAGCTGGGCAGGGGCTCAGCCTGGAGCAAAGGAGGCTCAGGGGGCCCTTGTGGCTCTGCACAGCTCCTGCCAGGAGGGGACAGCCGGGGGGTCGGGCTGTGCTCCAGGGAACAGGGACAGGAGCAGAAGGAACGGCCTCAGGCTGGGCCAGGGCAGGCTCAGGGTGGACAGCAGCAGGAATTTCCCTATGGAAAAGGTGCTCAGGGATTGAAGGGGCTGCCCAGGGAGGTTTGGAGTCTTTAAAAAATTTTTAAATGTGACACTTAGGGACATGGATTAGTGGTGAACGTGGCAGTGCTGGATTAACTGCTGCACTTGATGATCTTGTAGGTCTTTTCTTATCTCAATAATTCCATGATTCAATATCCACTGAAGCTTCAGATTTATTCCCCAAAAAGCTGTGCTGGTTGAAGGCATCCTCCTTAATTTTTTCTGCTTAAACATGCCAATATTTTGTTTTTCCCCAAACTCAACTGTGAAACAAAGCAGCAGTGCCTGCTCCACATCAGCCCCAGGGCATTTCCTTCAGAAGACAAGGAACAAACCTGTTCCTGTATGTCCTTAAGCACAGCACACAGGAACAGGAAAATCCAGGCAGGAGGATGAAGTTGTTCACTTTTTACTCTTCAGCCAAATTATAGCTTGTGCTATTTAAATCCCTGTGAGCCCAATCACAAAATTTTATTAAACAGTTTTCCATGTTTAACAGTTATTCATGGAAAGGTCCACTATAATAGTATTTTAGCACCATCAACCTGTCGAAATCAACCTGCCCAATTACTCCAAACTACATTAATAACACCGGATATTACACTAATTGTGTCCAGTTTCTATGCAGACGAGGTCCCATGGGGCTAATTTTGCATCCTCAGGGGCAAGCAACTCAGCCATCAGCCTGATTTCACCAGGAATCCCTCCTCATTACACAAGTTCAGGCTGTCAAACTTTTTTTTTTTTTTTAAAGAAAAAAAGGTTAATGGGCCAATCAGTCATCAATTATTTCCTGGAAGGGCAGCAGAGGAAGGGTTAAAGTGTGAAGAACCAGCTGCCACTGACTTCCATTTGGAAGTTATTATCATCAACACGAGATGTCTAAAATGCTGTTGTTGTTTGTTTTGCCTTTTGTTTTGTTTTTGAAGAGAGAAGGGTGGCTGGGAGGGGAGGATGGGAAATGAACCAAAACTGTGAGATTGTGATGATATGGAGGGAAAAGCACAGGAGGTTTTTTCTTTTAGTGGAAGCCCACATGGAATCAGTGAATTTTAGGGTGCCCAGATGTGGCTGCCCCATCCTTGGAAATGTTCCAAGCCAGGTTGGATGGGGCTTGGAGCAGCCTGGGATAGTGGGAGGTGTCCCTGCTCATAACAGGGGTGGGATGGGGTTGGGCTTTAAGGTCCCTTCCAAATCAAATCATTCTGGGGTTCCAGGGACACTTCTCACCATCATCCCTCCACAGCCAACTTCATTTAACCCAGGTTCGCAATTTATTTTGCTCTGCCAAAAGCCAGACACTGCCACAGCCCACCCACTTCTGGAAAACAAAGAGAGAAAATTTCTCAGGAGCATGGATTGTGGAAGAAAAAACAAAAGTTCAGGGCATGGCCCCCCTGCCTTGCCCATGCCACGTGTTTGGGATGTGGGACTGGGATCAGGTTTAGAAACCCACACTGAAAATTACCACAGGATACAATTAGTCCATAACTTGTTCCAGAGAACTCCACTTTTAGTCTGTGGAATGTAGGGAAAACACATGTCCAGGAGCACTCACACCTCCTGGTGTCTCTCAGGAGTGGCTCTGAATAATGTGCACAAATCACTTGGTCTCCATCTCCACTCCCCTCCTATTTTACTCTCACTCTTAAGAACTGCATGAATAACACCTTGCACCACCAGTGAGTGACACAATTCCAAGTCACAAAATCCTAGAAGATCAGGTGGGGAGGGACCTCAAGGATCACTTGGTCCAACCTTTCAGCAAGGCAAGGGCTCCTTTCTGCTGTGCAGGAATCACACCCATCCTAGAAGGTGGCTTTTAAATAAATACATATGAAGGTACATCTAAGAGGCATTTATAAGTATTTTTCCAGAATAAGACTGGATTTTCTGGCTTCCAGGCCAACCAGGGTGTGCATTTGTATCTCTGCCCAGCACAGCTGTGTGACAGCAGAGGATGCTGGTGCTGCTGCTAATTAACAGTAACTCATCATGCACACCTGGAGGGTGGTGCCACTCACACAGGAAACAGTTCCCAGGAAGAAGTCAAGTGCAGCACCAAACCCCCTCGAGGGTGTGTTTCAAATGCTCCTGAAGCACCTTCAAGAGCTGAGGTTGCAGCCTGAATCCCAGCCAAGCCTGCCTCAAGTAACACCCAGACCTATTTCAGCTCCTTTTTCATCTCTCCTGAAAATCTCTTCTGCTCAAGCACCATAACCCTTCATCCTTTCAAAAGGAGGAGAGGGAAGAGCTGCTGGGGTGCCCTGGGAAGCAACAGGAGTTGTTTACAAGCACGGTTTGTTTACAACAATTGTGTTATTTATGTCCCACGTGGGTTGGGTCAGTTACCTCTGCCACTCAGTGAGAATCACCCCCCTCACTTGGCAGATAAGTATGTTTATTAGCAGCCTCAATTAAGGAAATATTTGTGCCATGTCCCACTGGGCATGGCTATGCTAATACTTCTCTCCCCTTTCCAAACCCAGTGTCTAAATCTAATTAGTTTTGAAAATCAACCCCATCAGGACAAGGGAGCTCTGCTGTCGCTTGCCCACAGCTCTTGGTAAAGGTTGTGTTCCACTGGAAGAGTTTTATTCTGGTTTAAATCACATTTCTCTGAGTGGTGGAGAAAGGCTGAAGGCATTGAAGCCCTCTCCCTCTTGGGCTCGATGTTTT